AGCAGGGAGGGGTGCCGGGGCGCGGCGGGAAGCCGCGGCTCTTTAGTTCCAGACCAGGCCCCACTCCTGGTAAGGGAAGGGGGTCCCTCTGGGTCTCAGGGGTGTCCCTCCCCCTCCTCGACCTCAGCGGATGCTGTTCTAGACCCCAGCGCTCTGAGCAAGGACGAGGGTCTGCTGCACGTATAGTCTCCAGATCGGAGACAGGAAAAACCCAACAGCCCAGGGCCCCCTAAGCCAAGGGAGAAAGAGCAGGGGGAGCCTCCAGGTAGACAGGTAGAGAAAGAGCTCTCCCATGCGGGAAGGCGGTTCTTCGGGACAAGGGACAGCCAGGGCGTCAGGCAGTGCAGGACACTATTTATAGAGGGAAGGGGGCCAGACTTGGCCGGGAAGCCCCAGGCCCAGCCGGCAGGGTGTGGCGTTGCAGTCAGCCCTGAGCAGGTGGAGGGGCTGAGGAAGGCTGAGCCCTGAGCTCTTCACGTGCGCTTCGGCCCTGCCTGGAGAGGCTTCCCTGGGGGTCTGGCAGGTCTCAGGAGGCAGGGCCGGGAAGGGGAAACCAGAGGCAAGGGGGAGTTCTCAGGAAATCCAACCCACCCACCCACCTCCCGAGGCCTTTCAGAGTCCACCAGGCCTGGGGGCGCCACACTTACCTGGGAGGCTAGAGGGTCTGTGGCCCCCATACCAAGGGGTGGGGCAGGGGTGGATGGACGGCTGGAGTGAGGGAGCAGGGGCAGGGGGGAAAGAACCAGCTCCCGGAACCTGTGCCTGTCTCCACCCTGCGGTGGCCTCCCGCCACCCGCGCCCCAGGAGTCCCTAGCGGCCCACACTGATATTGCAGGTCTTGCAGCTGGGGTCTTTCTTGGCGTCGGCAGTGGACAGGCTCATGAGCTGGTGCCCGCTGATCTCGCCCAGGGTGCCCAGGGACAGGTCGACGGGCTCGGTGTAGATGACCTCCAGGATGAGGTCCTGGGCGTGGCGGAAGACCAGCTCCCCGCCCTCCACGCTGCAGGTCAGAAACTTGTTGCAGGCAATGTCCAGGAGGGGCAGGCGGTCGCGGCAGAAGCGGTCCCCCGGGGAGCCCTTGGGTGCCAGCACCAGGATGGCGTAGTGGTAGGCCGTGTACATGCAGTAGAAGTGCGCGAAGTAGAGGTTGGTGCTGGGGTTGAAGAGGCGCTGGGCGGGGATCTGGAAGCGCCAGCGGCCGTAGGGGGAGTCCTGCGGGGGCTGGCCCGTGTTGAACTCCGTGTTGCAGCTGAAGAAGACTCCGTGGAGCATGCCGCCGGTCGGGGCGCAGGGGGTGGGGGAGACGGGGAGGGCTGCAGCGTGTTCCCGCAGTGGGTCCTGCCCGCCCGGGAGGAATGCCAGCGGGAAGAGAAAAGGCCGCCGTGAGCTGGGCCGAGACTGCCTGCCACTGCGCGTGATCAGGGAGGGAGAGAGCCAGCCCGGCTCCCGCTCCCACCAGCGCCGCCCCC